TCAAAACTTGAACATCTAATTTTGATTAGTTCTCACTCCCCTAAGTGTGCATGTGCATGAACACTAAGCTTGCAAACACCTTTACAGGACTTGACTTAAAAAATAAAAATTATAATAATGAATATTACAGCTCTTTATAGCATATTCCTATTCTTCTCAACCTTGAGCTCTGATTCTTTATTGAATGGGGCTTGGTATTCCTGAAATATTAGTATACACATAAATAAATATAGAACGAAAAACACTAAGAGACATAAATTTTTTGTTATCGTACAAAATATAAACTCGTGAGCTCGAGTAGTAAGAATCTTCCCTTTTTTATGATGGTAAAATTTACTAGTGAATTTGCAAACTAAAAGTATTTTCTCCCAATCTCCTCTTCACTAAGATAAAAATTTAAAAACATGGGAAAACAAAAATTACTTTCTTTTTAATTTTTATTTTTTAAAATAAAATAAGTAAAACAAAATAAATAACTAGAGAAAAAGATAAACTAAAATAGAAATACAAAAATAATAGTACATTCTCTTCTTTTGAAAGAAGAGAAGCATAGAAAATCAAAATAGTAAAAACTGACTAACAAAAAATCAAAAGAGCCCTGATCTGGTGAAGAAAATGTTTTAGAATAATTATTTTGAAATTTTAAATTTTTTTGGGATGAGAAAGTTACCTCTTAATTTTATTCAAAAACTTAGTAAGACATGTATTGACAACACATAACCCAGAAAGGTTAGAGATTTAAAAATTATTAATACAAGCTCAAGTACCTTTAAAGACTCAAAAACTTATTAAGCCAACTTCTAAATAAAAAAACAAATTAGAAAAGGAAACACTAATTTTTTTAAAACTTCTTTTATAAAATATACCTAATAGAAGATTAATGCAAAAATTGGTGAATTAAGAATCATGATTTTCAAATTTAAGTATCGAAAATATCAATAGATATAAGGCTTTCTTAAGATTTATGAAATACAAGAAAGATAAGCTAACTTATTGTGGGCTCAATTTAGTGCACCTTTCTAAGTTTTTGATGCACTTTACGCATCTTTTGATTTTTGATACACTTTGGGTATCTTTCCATATTTGGTGTTATTGTGTATCTTTTCAGCTTTAGGCTCATTTTGTTCCTCCTTTTTTTCAACAAATATGTTTTCTTTATGTAATTTTTAAAACTAAAGCAAACACATTCTAGTGATAAAAATGAACTATTTGATTAAGAAAAAATGGGTGGATTCAACAACTTATAAAAGATCCCTATGAGATAGAAAAATATAGGGATATGAAAAAAAAGTTCAATTTCAAAATCTAATTTATAATTTGATAAAGACTTTGAATCAAAAGTAAAATAGCCTCATTAATAAATGAGATAGAGAGACAATCATGAGTTTCCTTCTTTTGATTGATTTTAGAGAAGAAAATCACAACTAAAAAAATTTTAAAAAATAGGAGGTAAATTTTTTATTTTTAGAATAAATAATCTTTAGAAAAAAGATTTGATTTTCTAAAGTGTATAATACACATAAAAGTGATACGTTTGTGTTGATCAGAGAAAACTTAAAGAAAAATGTAAAGTCTAATTTAACATTTTAAAGAAATAAAAAAATACTAAAAAAAAAATCACAAAGAAAACACAGAGAATAAACATGAACACAATGAATAAAAATAGATATCTACACATGAAAAAACACTCAAACAAGGCTTTAAACATTATTATTTTGCTTATGATATGATGATACAGAAGCTAGGTCTGCCTAAGAGATTTTTTAATTTTCATTATTTGCCATTTTTATAATTTACTTAGCTTTACATTTTTCTTTTTTCTTTTTATATATCCAGGTTTTCTACAGCCAAAATAAATAACGTCATAAGAACTCTTAACATTCTTACCATTTTTATCTTTATTTTACTTTTGTTGATGTTTTTGCTTGTGCTTTAGTAGACTTTTCAATTTGTTTATTATTGATGCTAACTCTTCACTTTCATCATCTACTAAACTGCTTTGATCCATGTCTTCATCTTTTAGCACTATTATTTCACCTGCATTCAAAAATATTTGACTAATAGTTTGCTTATTAGCAATGAGTGAGCTAATCAGATTGTTAATAGAATATTTATTAAAAATTTTTTATTCACAAATAACAACGACTTTGGGTTCAAATTTATCAAGTAGACAATGTAGAATTTTATTAACTTTTTCAAACTTTGAAAGTTCTTTACCTAAAGCATTTAATGATGTCACAATTTGAGTAAATCTACTAGACATGTAAGATCGTCCAGGACAAGATCATCCTATATGATCAGTACAAAATAGCACTTCCAGTCAGAACTCCCAACATAGTCCTGTATGATTAATTTAATAATTTATATAGATCATCTGGGATGATTAGTTCAAGATTGGCGACAATTAACATATCGTCCCAAGACAATCTCGAGACATCAATGATGATAGCCTTTATGATTAGAGGAAATATGGTTTTCATCTTGGAGGATTTAGAAAAATCAAATATGTCGACAAACATCGTCCAGTATGATATATAGATTGTCTAAGATGATATGATTGAATAATTAACTATAATTAATCCCCTAATCATATGATCAATTTAGGCATAATTGACATTGATCGTCTAGAAAGATCTAGATCATCCAAGATGATTATAACAAATTTTGAATCTTAAATTCTTGCCTAAATTATCATTGACAGCTATTTTGCAAGATCATACAGAATCATCGTGGATGATCGAAATCATCCAGTACGATTAGTTTAATGAGATGATCATCTTGGACAATCAAAATCATCTAGTATGATTAGTTCAAAACATGAATTTTTAGTTTTGACTAGATCTCACTCCCTTGAGTGTGCATGTGCATGACCACCAAGCTAACAAACATCTTTATAGGAATTGACTCAATAAAATAAAATTATATTAATGAATATTACAGACTCTTTACAGCATAACCTTATAATATTTAATATTGAGCTCTGATTCTTAGTTGGATGGTGCACGGTGTTCCTAAAATGTTAGTATACACATAAATAAATATATAATGAAAAATACTATGAGACATAAAGATATTTGTTATCATTAAAAATGTAAACTCGTGAGCATGTGTTGCAACAAGAGAATCTCTAAATATAATTTATATAATTATTTTAATCAAGAATATTTGTAGAAGACCATAGTTTCCTAAAATGTTAGTAACTACTAGGGGTTATGCTCATAGGAGATTTAGAATCCACATCCACCTTTTTAAAAGTCAATCTTCATGGACTTTGAATCAAAATGTAAATATTGGCTATAGAAATATATTCATATTTTTCATTATTTATATTTTCTTAATGCAATTTATCAAAGCAGGTCTAGTTGCTGATTGAAAAAAAAAAGATGCAATTCTTCCAATTTAAATTATGGGACGTGACTCGTAGAGCATTAGAGTTTCCTTAAATCTCAAGTAAAAGTTTAAGCTCTAAGTACAAGCTCCTCTCTCTTCATGTAGAGAGTAAGGGACAATTATCTATTTTTTGAAGTGGCATGCCTTATTAATATGACTAACATTTGGAACACTTCATAAGATATTCTATATTGATTCTCTCGATCATCGATTCTTTTTTCAAAATTTAAGTGCCTTAATGATATTAGAATTATACAATATTAGGCTAATTAGATTTGTCCCGTCCACACTCAATTTGACTATAAACATGCCAATTTTGAAAATCATTTGATCATCTAAATAGCATCATGAAGTTTCAATTATGCTTCAGACCCCTAATTTGGACTTGTTTAGGCTCGTATTGTATCATTTTGGGTATCATTGAGTTCATCTTATAGAGACGTTTAATTCAACTATAAGTTTTTGCCAAAATTAGAGTTCGAATAGTTCTAAATTTTAGAAGTTTCTAATTTAAATATGTGTCAAAATTCATGTCCGATTAAGAAAATTTTCTATGAAGAAATAATAATAATAATTTATAAAATGAATGAGATATTTTTCTCTAATAACTTCACTCTACATTACATTTTTATATTAAACTAATCAAATAACATAAATATTGCATCAATTAAATTTATAAAACATAAAAAAATAACACAAAATAAATGTGACATTAAATAAGTCAATAAAATAATAAAATATAAGCAAATATTTCATGAATTCAGCAGATTTTTGCATTGCAGAGAGGCAATTTCTGAATTTCGTGATTCAAACTCATGGCATACAAGACAAATTGAGAAAAAGAAAGAATTAAACCCAATATCAAAATTCAAAAACATTATGATAAATCATAAATGTGCTTCCTCATTAAAGAACGAACACCGCATATCAAGCCAAACCCACAGCTGTGTATCCTTAGGCCTCATGTGGTAATACCGTATAATAATGTTGGATGAAAAAGGTATAATTGCTCTACCTTGGATGGACAACTTGCTCAAAACGTTCAATAAAAAATCAAAATATAAAAAACAAAACAGATGGCTTACCTGGAGCTCGACGACGACAAATTTGGTTCTCACGGTAAGTCGTGCCGCCGGCTGGGATGAATCAGAGAAGGTGGAAGAAGTCTTTCGGCTGGGATGAATCGGAGAAGGTGGAAGAAGTCTTTCGGCTGGGATGGATGAGTCGCGCGGCTTTAGGCGTGGAAGAGAGGAAGACTCAAAACAAAATACTCAAAGAAGCTTACGATTAGGGCAGCGTGTATAGCGATCAAAACTTCCCCACGCGCGCGTTCGATCGTGGATGGACGACTGAGATTTGCAAATTTTCGAACCGTCCGGTTCTTCAATAGCCGCCCGGTTCGGCGGTTCCCCGGTTCAACCGGGTTTTGTACCGGTTTTCAGCCGGTTACAAATACAGGCGGTTCTTGCATCAAATCGGACCGCCCACCGGACCGGTTCGCGGTTGAACCGGTCGAACCAGCCGGTCCGGTCCGGTTTTGAAAACCATGCTGTTGCCGCTGTAGATCCTTACGCCTTCTTTAACTTCTTTCTCGGTTTAGGCATCTCTGTCTCTCTCTCTCTCTCGTAGCGCTCCTGTGTTCTTCAAAGTTTGAAACCATCGATAGCAGACGTCTACTTTTTCGACCTAGGTCTCATTTTCTTTCTGATCCCTTCACCATGAGTACCTTGCCTGGTCTCCGTCGTCGCTATGCTTATGAAGGAATTGCGATTCACTAGAATCTAGGGTTTCTTCTTGTTTTGCCTCTTGTCGTCGCAAAAGATGATTCCGTGGGGCGGTGTGGGCTGCTGTATGAGTGCCGCTGCTCTCTATCTTCTGGGCAGAAGCAGCGGAAGGTGCTTACTTTTTTTTGACCAATTTTGAGATTTATGTTTAGATTGTAGTCGTTATTCCGTGCTGCATTTTTTTCCTATTTTATTCGGTGGGATGGTAGATTTTTTTTTTTTTTTTGTGCAGGGATGCTGACGTTCTAAGGTCTGTGACGAGGGTTAACCAGCTAAAAGATCTGGGTTAGTCCTGTTTTGCTGTATTGTTGTTGTCCATATTCTTTTATTTCATGATAATGCTGGCGATACGCTTTTTATTTTTTATTTTTTTTAATGTACAGATTCATTCTCCTATCTTAATTTGTTAAGATGCATGCGGGCTGCATACATTAAAAAGTGTTTAATTCTCTAATAAAATGTTTTTTAAAAAATTTCAACTGTATTTATGGTTTTGAAACTAGATTTGAGTGAATCTGTGCTTAGTATAATGATAATGCTTCCTTCATTAACAGTGGAGCTTGAGATGGTCTAGTGAATCATGATTCTTAGAACAAGGAATATGTTTTCCTTTGCAGAGCTCCTCAATTGATTGATTTTTTTTTTTTGTTTGAAATTTATGACATTGTTCATGTTTTCCAGTGTATTGTATCATAAAGACGAATTTTTATTGGGTGCGGACACCAGGCGTAGCTCTACGTTTAGACGTCAGTTAAATGACGCCATGTAGCATCCGACGACCCGATGTCCCGACCAATTGAAAACTAGAAATTTAGCACGTGTTTTGACAATTTCCGCGCGACCCGATGAACCGATTTGGATCGGACGCAAAAATTTAAAAGTCCTGCCTTTTCTTAGGTTTTATGACTTTTAGCGGACTATTTTTGAGACGTGAGACAAGATTTCACCACAGAAGAGAGTTGAGAAAGAATTAGCGAGGAAGAGGATATGAAAATGGAATTCTCTTTGGATGACATAGAAGAGTGCGAGGAGATGGAAAAGACTCAAAACGTTGAGGAAGACTCCATGAGGCGATGTACGGGAGATATGTATGGATTATTATCAGTAATTTATTTACTTAAGAGGTTTTAGAATTTATCATTTGATATTGTAACTATGTGTGCACGTCTTCTTTGCAGCTCTATTTACTTATGTGTGAAGCTTTTGGGAACTGATTACCGCTACACCTTCTCGGTACCGAGCAGTACCACCTCTCGAGCAGTACCGTTTTGCGGATGGTGTCATAGTACTGAGAATTGGTACCGATTATGGTACCGAGTATCGATCATGGTACCAAGACTGCTACCCGGTACAATTTATCGGTATTGATTCTCGGTACCGCTACCCGGCACAGTTTCTTGGTATTGAGACTCAGTACCGCTACATGACATAGTGTCTCGATATTGATACTTAGTATCAAATCTCGGTACAAAATAAGTTTTGCTTTGTACACGTAATTTTTTGTACTACAACGTTTGTATCAACATGTTAAATATGTTTTTCTTGTGCATATGGTGTTTATAACTATCAGAAGGAAGCATATGATATATACTGCGATTATGCTCATTATCATGGTTTTAGTGTTCGGAAAGACCATTCTTACTTACCTAATTTGAGGAAAATAAAATCAAAGGATTTTGTATGTTCGAAAGCATGATTCAATAAGGGAATTAACTTAAAATGCAAAATCAAAATATCAAAAATCAAACACAAGAATCGGGTGTCCAGCTATGATTAGATTTGCAGTGACTAAAGATGGAGTTTCGATGGTGCAAAAAAATGATCTAAAGTCACAATCAAGAATTAGCTAGGTCGGAAGATCAACATTTGCTTAGATCATGCAAACATATTAGTGATGATAAAACATTTGTTCTTAAATCAATGTCAAATGTTGGTATAAGAACAGTTGATGCATTTACATACCTATCTGATGAAGTGGGAGGTATAGAAAATTTGAGATTCACAAAGAGGAATGCATACAACTATATTAAAAAAGAGAGAAGAGCTATGATTGAGATGGGAACACGAATTCACTAATTGAATTGTTTAAAGAATGACCAGCTCATGACAACATGTTTGCATGGGATGTCCAAATTGATGAGGACGAAAGATTGTTGATTTTTTTTGGGTTAATGGGTTGAGGAGAATTGATTATGATTATTTTGGGGATGTGATAATTTTTGATACTAGTTATAGGCTTAACAAATATAATTTAACTTGTGCACCTTTTGTTGGAGTTAACAATCATTGGTAGAGTATTTTGTTAGGGGTGACTTTTTATATGAGGAGACAATTGAGTCATTTACATTATTATTTAGAACTTTCTTAAGAATATGAGTAATAAACATCCCATAACGATATTTACCGATCAGGACCAAGCAATGACTAGGAAAATAGAAATTGTATTACCTGAAACACGACATAGGTTTTGCCAATGACATATCAACAAGAAAGTTCCTTCCAAAGTATGCTGCTTCAATAACAACAACAAAATCAGATGTCTTTTTTATAGTTGTTTAAGCAAGTGTGATTCCGAGGATGAGTTTGAGAGAACTTGGGTTGAAATAATCACAGAAGGGGACCTCTTGAGCCATAACTGGTTGATAGAGCTATATAAAATTAGGCACAAGCGGTCAACAATATTCAGCAAAAATTATTTTAACCTTGACATTCTTTCTACACAACGTAGTGAATCCACTAACAATATGTGCCATGACATTTCCAAGCCAACAAACTGTATAACTGATTGTTTCCTGGGTTTGGAGAAGGTGATGAAGACTTAGTATCAAAGTGAACAAGATGAAGATTTCAGATGCAGCCAGTTTGAGATACAACATTTAATTAAAAGTAGCCCAATACTAAAACCAAGGTTTAAAATTGCGTAAATAAGCCTCGAGGCATTTTTTCGTTCGTGAGGCTAGGCATAAGCCTCACTGAAGAAAAATTGCGTAAATGAGAATTTAAGGGTTTTAGCAGGTAAATAATAGTAAGATTCTATCATACAATAAAAACTTCTAATTGACAAATGAAATTAGTGGAAAGTAAGAAAATAGATGCAATAAAATCATGTTCTAAAGTACAGAACCATAAAATATAAGTCTATTAAAACTCCCAAAGTACAAATAAGAAAGAACATATTAAATCAAATCATGTCCCATCAATAACAAAAAAAAATAATAAGCATGAATATGAAATAATATTGTCCAAGAGACAAGAATTCACATTTAAAATCCTCACCCCTTCCTCCTCTCCTATAGAGTCCAATGTCTCCCAATCAAAGCATGCACTCATGAAGAAGCATGCTAACACTAACAACTATTACTAAAGATAATGAATACAACAATATGCTCGGCTGGCGGGAGTCCAAGGGGGCGCTGTTCCTTCGGAACAAATTTTGTTTGTAAGAGTAATTTTGAAGTTTTGCTTATTTTTAATGTTCGTAAGTCGTTTGTATGGAAATATACCTAGCGGTACCGAGCATGTACATAGCGGTACCAAGCATGTACCTAGCGGTATTGAGCATGTACCCAGTACCGAGCATGTACCTAGCAGTTCCGAGCATGTACCTAGTGGTATCGAGCATGTACACAGTGGGTATAAGAAAGAATTTTAAGAGATTTTTTAAGTGGGCCCCCATATTTTAGAGGCTTACGCCTCAATGGAAATTGCACAATAACGCTAGTGAGGCGCGCCTCACTCCACCTGAGGCGTACGCCTTATGAAGCCTGAGAATTGCCTAGGCTTTGAGGCTATTTTGGAGCAAATTGCGCAAAGGCGCGCCTCGGATTGCGCAATTTTAAACTATGACTAAAACAAGCCGCTCGTTTTTATTCGAGAAAATTGTACACATTTTTTGAAGAGTTCTTACAAGGTGTGGGTGGACTGTACATTGATCATGCTTCACTGAACTCATCTACGTTCTCCGTCAAGAACGTCGACAAATGTTTTTAGTCGCAACATTTGACTGTTCATTTTGATTCAATTGAGGGTATCATACACTATAGCTGTGGGAAGTTCGAAATGATGATTTTATTATGTTCTCACTGCATGAGAGTTATAAGGCAGGTAGATATTGTTAATATTTATACAAAATATTTATTGCTAAGATGGTCAGCCTGAGCTAAGAAATATCTTTTTGCTGGGCGGACGATGACTGATATAGGAAAGAATGCCTGCCATCGTAGGAGGGATCCAGTAACATGATATTTATAAATTATATTTGCAGATTTGCATATCAAATTAGCTCACATGCATAGGGAAATGAGGATGCAGAGCAATATATGTTCGTTGCAATGAGTGACATGGTTGAAAATGTTGAATTCATCATGGAGGGGAAAAAATGAAAAAAAAACATCTTTACAGCCGAGCTGGGGGTGGCCATAAAAATATTAAAGACCCTATGAAGTGCCGACCTAAGGGCATCCCTAATGCAAGACTAAAGGTTCATCGGGAAAAAAGGAAAATAAAAAAATTGAAACCCACAAAGAATAATGCTCCTACTACCGAACAATTTATAGCTGGAGATCTAGTGTGCTAGGCGTCGCTTTCTATTATACCAGAATGCTTAACTGATGAGTACATTCTTCGAAAACCACCAAGCTAGCCAACACCTGAATATACAAGAATGATGATGGTAATAATAGATTAAGAGAAATTTGTATGAAAACTGGTCTCGGGACCGGTCGTATTATTCGGTATCAATCGATACCTCTCGGTATTGATTGGCACCACTCGGTACCAATTAATATCGATTGGCATTGATCGGTACCGAGCCGTATCACATGGTACCGCACAACACTTATCGATCCTCATAATATTAATTTATGTGGGGTTGGCTTTGTATTAATGTCGTCTGTAAATATAAGGCTATTCATTTATTGCTGTTACTGGGTTGTTGCAACTTTTATTGTAATTTAATAAATGTTTAGTGAAACTTTAAATTTAGTAACTATTCGTTGTTGCAGAATTTATGATATTTAATGTAACTCCATATATATATATATATATATATATATATATAATTGAGTCGCATTTTACGTGACGTTTCATTTGCACTTAGGAGGCCGAATGATATTTATTCTTCCATGAGTCAAAGAGGCATTTACGGTATGCAAGTAAATGGCTTGCATTATTAGCTCTGCAAATGCCTTTGTGATTCCTGGAAGGTAAATACCTCTCGTCTTTTATAGTCGTTTCTATCAACCTCAGCGTATGTGTCACTACTAAAAAATAAGCTTTCGCAGCAC